GTTTGTGCCGTCGATTACTAGCCCCCTTTTCTTATTCTATGACTGCCTCCCTACCTGTTTAACTTCTGTCATGTACGCATGTCATTTGCCAACCGTGATAAAATCATGCCCAATGTGTCTGCACAGCGCCTTGGGATCTGGCTGCGTGCATACGCCGTGTCTCTACAGTTGTGCATAGACTCGCACAGAGACCCATAGACTCGCACAGAGACCCATAGACTCGCACAGAGACCCATAGACTCGCACAAAGACCCATAAACTCTCACAGAGACCCATAGACTCGCACAGAGACCCATAGACTCGCACAGAGACCCATGGACTCGCAAAGATACCCATAGACTCGCACAGAGACCCATAGACTCACACAGAGACCCATAGACTCGCACAGAGACCCATAGACTCGCACAGAGACCCATAGACTCGCACAGAGACCCATAGACTCGCACAGAGACCCATAGACTCGCACAGAGACCCATAGACTCGCACAGAGACCCATAGACTCGCACAAAGACCCATAGACTCTCACAGAGACCCATAGACTCGCACAGAGACCATAGACTCGCACAGAGACCCATGGACTCGCAAAGATACCCATAGACTCGCACAGAGACCAATAGACTCACACAGAGACCCATAGACTCGCACAGAGACCCATAGACTCGCAGAGAGACCCATAGACTCACACAGAGACCCATAGACTCGCACAGAGACCCATAGACTCGCACAGAGACCCATAGACTCACACAGAGACCCATAGACTCGCACAGAGACCCATAGACTCGCACAGAGACCCATAGACTCGCACAGAGACCCATAGACTCACACAGAGAACCATAGACTCGCACAGAGACCCATAGACTCGCATAGAGACCCATAGACTCTCATAAGAGCCCTATAGACTTACACAGAGAACCATAAACTCGCACGTAGACCCATAGACTCGCACAGAGACCCATAGACTCGCACAGAGACCCATAGACTCGCACAGAGACCCATAAACTCGCACACAGACTTGTAGATTCACATATAGACCCATAGACTCACACGGAGACCCATTTACTCGTACCAGAGACCCGTGCACTCGCACAGAAGCCCACAGACTTGCACCGAAACCAATGGTTTCACACAAAGACCGATATACTCAGAAATCAATACAATCGCATAGAACGGTGCTGTATCGTAAAATGTTGTACATTTATAGATATTTATTACGACAGAAAAGCACTTTTCACGATCGAAATGGGGTGCTGATGTTAAGGCAACCAGTTGGATACTATACTGGTGCGCCTAAAAGTAACTTTAAAGTGTTATATTTTCTTAACTAAGTTTTATTCGGGAGACACACATCGGCCCAACGGCGCCCAAAACGTCAGGCGGCCAGCAACGGACAGCACGATGAAATCTGTGAATTCATGGTTGTGTTTAATATCGCAAGGTTGTACGAAGTTGAGAAAGAGAGGATGGGAGGGGAATTCCAAAGCAGAGCGAGAAGAATCAGAACGAGAAGTGAGGTGAACCGGAGTGGTGAGCGGGTGGGTGGGTCAGTGGGTGAGTGAGTGGGTGAGTAGGTGGGTGAGTCAGTGAGTGGGTGAGTGAGTGAGTGGGTGAGTCAGTGAGTGATTGAGTGGTTCAATGGATGATTGAGTGGGTGAGTGAGTGGGTGAGTGAGTAGGTGAGTGGACGAGTCAGTGAGTGGGTGAGTGATTGAGTGGATCAGTGGGTGAGTGAGTAGGTGAGTGGGCGAATCGGTGAGCGGATGAGTGATTGAGTGGGCGAGTGAGTAGGTGAGTGGGTGAGTCAGTGAGTGGGTGAGTGAGCGCTTGAGTGGGCGCGTGAGTGGATGAGCGAGTGGGCTCGTGTTTGAATGGGTGGGGAGTGGGTGATTAAGTGAGCGAGCGAGCGGGTGAGTGTTTGAATGTGTGGGTGAGCGGTGGTTGTACACAGTGTGATGGATGGCAATCATCGAGTGAAGCTCACAGCTCCATGAACCAAGGTCCTGTAATCGTAGCGGTAAGAAACTATACGAGGCACGGTATATACAGAGTACCAACACTTTACCCCAGCACACTGACCCTGCGCTTCGACTGTGGTGAACTAAATTGCGTTGCTGCGTGGACAGAGCGGACGGGGAAGAGGTTCCTTGTTTCGAGTGCCGCGTCGGACATCACTTCGAACCCGCAGTGCAGTTTCGGCGTCCGTAGAATGGAAATAATAAAATAATAAAAAATAAAAATAAAAACATAATAAAATAATTCTCACGACGTTTCGGCCACAACGCAAGCAGCCGTGGCCGAAACGTCGTGAGAATTATTTTATTATATTTTTATTTTTTATTATTTTATTATTTCCATTCTACGTGACTTTACCGAAATAATCAATGAGATGAATCCCTGCAGTCACGAAAGCTTTAAATCGAAATACAACTTAATTCTACACAATAGAGGGTTTTTTCTTTAGTTAGATCGCGTAAATATATAAATGTGTCGTTAAACCCGCCACCACCCGACACAGCCAACTAGTAAGGTTTGTCACGTAAACAGAACGTGTCCAATTCGTCACTAGTACAGCACTAACCGGTGTGTTGGAGAGCCAAGCCACAACATTTACAATGTGTGGATGTTGAGTGGGGTGGATATGGGTAGCCGAGGGAGCAGGTAAGTGGGTGTATGTATAGGTAGGTGTTCGTATGGGTGGGTGGGTAGGTGGGTGGGTATATGGATAGGCAGGTGTGTGGATGAGTGGATATGGGTAGGCAGGGGATAAAGTAGGTCGGTGTATGGGTAGGTAGGTGAGTGTGCGGTTAGGCGTGTAGGTAAGTACGTAGATACGTGGATGGGTGGCTGTTTAGGGGAGCAGTCGTATCGTGTTGATGAGAAGCTTTCGTGACTGCAGGAATCCATGCTCTTTGGTTCTTTCGGTAAAGTCACGTAGGTAGAAAAACAATAGATCACGACGTTTCGATCGCAACACAAGCAGCCGTCATCAGGTGAGACGAACACAGCAGGAGAACTACTGACGCCGGAGCTAAACAAATACTTCGATTTAAAGCTTTCGTGACTGCAGGGATTCATCTTCTTGGTTCTTGCGGTAAAGTCACGTAGAAGGGAAATAATAAAATACTAAAACATAAAACATATGTTTTATGTTTATTTTTTCACTCACTCACTAAAATATGTTTTATATTTTATTTTTATTATTTTATTCTTTCCCTTCTACGTGACTTTACCGAAAGAACCAAGAAGATAAAAAAAATACTTTTCATTTCCAAGCCTTTACGCATATCCCACCGATCTCAACATCGCCACGGCGAACAGGCTCAGCGCACTCCCCCACTCCGTAAACATGCGCGGCGTAGACCTCCTTCGCTTCTATGCACGAACATTCAACTCAGCTGGTGAAAAGAACGCGTCCGCTGGGCATTTAAAACAAGAAGAGGCGAGGGTTGCGTCTGCCGTTGCGTGGAGCGCGCTTGCCAGTAACTTCGGCTCATCCTGCGACAAGCTGATGAGAGCCAGGAGGTGGAAACTGATCCACAGCTCGCTTGCTTGAGCACAACGCGGCTTGATAACGTCTTTGTGGGCAGTCAGCGAGGGCTGAAGGGAAAATGCATTCACGTTACTACGTGGAGAGGCGTACGTCACGTTAGTTTATGCGCACGTGACTGTTTCGTCTCATCGACACGTTGTGTTTCAGCCACCACACACTGTGGGCCACAACGCATGCTCACCCACTCACTCATCCAATCATTCACCCACTCATTCACTCACCCAATCACTCACTCACTCACCCACTCACTCACTTACTCACCCACCTACTCACCCAATCACTCACCCACCCACTCACCCACTTACTCACTCACTTACTCACCCACTTATTCATCCAATCACTCACCCACACACTCACTCACTCACCCACTTAATCACCCACTCACTCACTCACTTACGCACCCACTTACTCATCCAATCACTCACCCACACACTCACTTACTCACCCACTCACCAAATCGCTCACCTACTCACTCACATACCCACTTACTCAATAATTAACTCACTCACCCACTCACTCACCCACTTACCCTCCCACTCACTCACCCACCCACCCACCCACTCACCCACCCACCCACCCACTCACCCACCCACCCACCCACCCACTCACCCACCCACCCACTCACCCACCCACTCACCCACCCACTCACCCACCCACTCACCCACCCACCCACTCACCACATTGCAGGTGTGGTCACCTCACCTCTTTAGTCTGATTCTTCCCTTGGCACCGCTCCGCTTTGGAATTCCCTCTGCATCATCACCATCGCCTCGCTCCGCACCCAAACCCTTACGTTCAATAGCCTCCCGCAATTCACGACGCGCGTTTACACAATTGCAATTCCATGAGTGCAGCGTGTTGCTGGCCGCCTGGCGTTTTAAGCCTCTGGGGTGGGGGGGGGGGGCACTGTGCTCGGCAATTGTAAAACAAACAAAACGAAAACATTCATGAGTTCTTCTTGAAATAATTTTCATCGGCGACACTGCGTCGTCGTCAGAATTTACGAATGAATCCAACCCGTGCAAGCTCAGAATGAGACAATGGGTTCGTTAATGAATCATCTAATCAATCGATTGAATCATATATTAATCGATTAATTAATTATTGTCAGACTCCATGTGATATATAAAGTGCCGTGTCCAACTCTACTGGCCTCTGTCTGTGTTCTGAATAAGGGTCGTCGCCCGAAACGTCGTTTATTATAGATGTTATTGTAATTCTCTTAGCAAAGCCATCGCGTTATTGACGAACGTGTTGAGTTGCACTGTGACATCTCTACAAACAAAGACATACACACAAAGACAAATATCCCCCAGGTAGTCTTTAGCAGACGATATGGGGAGTGGGGTGGGAGGGGTGAGCGATGATGATGATGATGGTGGTGGTGGTGGGGGGCATTGCACTCATTGTGTTGTTGTGCTGTTGTGTTGTTGTTGTTGTGTCACTTCGCCCAGACCTCTCCGTATGAGATCAAAGACTCGAACGGATCTCTGCACACAGGACTTCCCCAGGCCACGAGCTACTATCACTACGACGGGGCGCTAAACCAGTACCAGTATAGCAGGTACACACTCCACACACACAGCGCACACACACACACACACTATATACACACACACCACGTACACACACCACATACACACACACCACGTACACACACACCACGTACACACACACCACGTACACACATACCCCACATGCACAGCGCACACACACACACACCACACACACACCACGTACACACCCCACATACACAGCGCACATACACACACACACACCACACACACCACGTACACACTCCACATACACAGCGCACATACACACACCACGTACACACACACTCCACATATATACACACACACACCACGTACACACTCCACATACACTGCGCACATGCACACACCCCACGTACACACACCACATACACACCACGTACACACCACGTACGCACACACTCTACATACCCACCACAAACACACCACAAACACACCACCGCATACACACACCGCATACACACCACGTACACACACACATCACGTACACACACCACATACGCACACACCGCAAACACACACACCACATACACACACACCACATACACACGTCACATACACACTCACATCGCATTAACACACACCGCATATACACTCCACATAGATACGCAACATACATACGCCACACACACACACCGCATACACGCAGGACATTCACACACCCCACACACAGACAAAGATCCCCCATATAGCCTTTAACGGCGTTGGGGCAAGTGTTGTTAGCGGGTAGCATCTATAAACGCCGACACGACACACGAGGCGATGTGGTTACCAGCGCCACGCCCGACCGCCTTTGTCTCTCCTCGTGTAGAAGTTTACACATCGCAACCAGGTACTCAAGTTGAGGCTGAGTCGACCTAGGGGAGGCTCAGGGCCTGTTCAAATTTGAATTCGATGCGTAGTCATATACAAATTTCGACACACCCACTTTTCAAGTAACAATTTGTAATCGTCAATAATCATCGTTAGGATACGAATTATAATTAACACGCATTATTATTTTATAACACACGCAAATGTAACGCGTGCATATTGACACAGCACCGATATACAGGCCGTACTGGTTACACGCGCGCGCACAGATAAAGACAAAGATGCGCCGTATAACCTGCACACGTTGTTTGGGAAAGTGCACACTCGGGGGTGGGTGGCCAACATCAGGCACGGCCGCCTTTGTCTCCCCGGTGCCGATATTTTAACACTGCCTACCAAATACTCGTTTAAGGCTGAGTCGACGCAAGAGAAACCCGGGACCGATTCAGAAAATGTCGCACGGTTTGTAACGCACTGCGCTAACTACCACCACCACACATACCTCCAGATACGCACGCATACTCGTGAATAGGTACACACACACACACAGACAAAGATCCCCCGTATAGCCTTAATACTGGGGCAAGTGCTGTTATCGAAAACCCTATTAAGGTGGAAGAGCCATTGCTATGCACACACACACACATACGTACACATGTAAACGTACATCATCATCATCATACAACTCATGTAGGCTGAAATCAATTGTAGAATATAAAAAAATATGATTCACTAACAAGCGTGGTGATCACTACTCGGGAAATGCAGCTACCCTCCCTCTAGCTAAATATAAATCACTATAAACTTACACAGACACTAAACAAAGACACACACAGGCGCAAAGACAAAGATGCCCCGTGTAGCCTTAACAGACTCCTGGGGCAAGTGCTGTTAGCGCGCATATGAAGGCGGGCACGGCACACGAGGAGGTGGGTGGCCAGCACCACGCCCGACCGCCTTTGTCTCCCCAGTGGCGACGTCCACACGTCGTTTCAGTGTCTCAATTGAGGCTGAGTCGACCTAGGGGAGGCCGAGGTCCGATTCAGATAATCGTCATTGGTCTTGGCCGTGAGCGGGAATCAAACTCGAGTCGCCGAGCTCGAAGCTCAGCGCGCTAACCGCTGCACCACCGCTCCCTACACACACGCACTCAAACCCACACGAATGGGTTAATGCATCAGCCACGGATATCTGAACCGATCCTGGGCCTCCCCTAGGTCGACTCAGTCTGAACGGAGAACTCTAATTCCGGTGTATCAGCACCGGGGGGGGGGGGCGTGGTTTGTTTCACATCGCCCACACTGTACCAGAGTGGTGAAGTATGGACATTTGGCACTCGCTCAGTCGCTCACGGCACCTGTACTCACAGCCTGCGGGCTGTCAATGGTATTGGCCAAACATCTGCACGTGAAACTGTGGTCATCAGATTCCTGGGTGAATCAGTCATTTCAATTATTTTTTATTAACCCAGCAAACCCCAAGACATTCGCCAATAAAAAATAACTAAGGTTTTGAATGAACACGCAAAACGCCGTGTAAAATAGGCGACGTTTCGGGCAATGGCCCATCTTCATAGCACACGAAGAATGGCGATGCGTATTAAGCAGAGCCATTGCTCTGTACGTATCTATGGACAACAGCACGCGTGCCATGAAGAAGGGACGTTGCCCGGAACGTCGCCTGTTATATATTCATCCCTCTTCTTGGTTCTTTCGGTAAAGTCACGTAGAAGGGAAATAATAAAATAATAAAAATAAAACATTATCAAATAATTCTCACGACGTTTCGGCCACAACGCAAGCAGCCGTCCTCAGGTGAAGAACAGGTCTGTCGAGAAGACAGCGTCTTTGGCCGAAACGTCGTGAGAATGATTTTATTAAGTTTTATTTTTCTTATTTTATTATTTCCCTTCTAAGTGACTTTACCGAAAGAACCAAGAAGATGAATCCCTGCAGTCACGGAAGCTTTAAACCGAAATGTATCATCCCGTGAAGGCCACGCTGTTGGTATCGACTAATGTGTTGCGCTGTTGTCCATTGCCCACCACGGCCAACGCAGCAACAGCAGCAGCAGCAACAGCATCGCCAAATAAGTTGTATAATTTTAATTCAAATTATCGTTATTCTCTGGCCAATGCGTCGTGTCGCGTACCGCAAGATCCGACCCGTGCCCGCTGCATTTGCTTCCGTTTGCCGAACGGATTCGTGATGAGGGTCGTACTCGTTATACACACACACATGCGCACGCACGCAAAGTGTTCGCCACAAGTGAACCACGATACCTCGCTGGTCTCGTCAAAGAGCGTCGACCATCATCACGCGGACTCCGATCAACGACGCAGCAGCAGCTGCAGCTACAGCAGCTTTTGGCTGCTGGGCCATCGGAAACAAAGTCGGCGGTCACCGCATCAGTGCGCGGAGCTTTCAGATGCGTATTCTTAGGTTTTTTCGGTAAAGTCACGTAGGTAAAACATTCAAATTAATAAAAGTAAAATAAAATAAAAATCACGACGTTTCGGAGGCAACACAAGCTTCCGTCTTCAGGTGGAACCGTCACAGCCACGACAGCTGTATCAAGTAAATGAGAGATTGCAGGAGCTACCACTCCGTTTATATAATGGTTGGAAAGGGGGAAATGCCAGATGCGCTTCTGTGGCCGTCTGGAACGCTGTGCACTTTTACATGTAGATCAGCGGTCGATAGCGCGCATCTCGTTAAGGACCGCCGCTCCGTTCTTTATCGAGGACCGCCACCGTCTCGTGTTCACCGCACGGTGCATCGCGCCTCTTTAAATGTTAAGGTTTTTTTAGTTTTTGTTTGACCAAATTCGCAAAAAAATGCCTCCTCCTCCTCTATTCAAAGTTCTTCAGAACGAGCTCGCCTGTGCGTCTCGTTTGTTGTACACCCCCCCGCCCCCCCCACACACACACGCAACGTACACACAACATACACACACACACGCAACGTACACACACACACTCACGCAACGTACACACAACATACACACACACTCACCCAACGTACACACAACATACACACACACAACGTACACACAACATACATACACAATGTACACACAACATACACACAAACACGCAACGTACACACAACATACACACACACAACGTACACACAACATACGCACACACGCAACATACACACAACATACACACAACATACACACACACACGCAACGTACACACAACGCACACACACGCAACGTACACACAACATACACACAACACACACACAACACACACACGCAACATACACACATCATACACACACACACGCAACACACACACACACGCAACATACACACAACATACATACACACACAACATACACACACAACATACACACAAGACACATACAACACACACACACGCAAAGTACGCACAACACACGCGCGGCTTTGGGTCACCGCGCCCGTGACCCCCACCGTGACCCCCGCCCTGGGCGCCCGCGCCGTGCCGAGGGGCTTCGCACCTGCAACTCATTACCCGACAACCACCACCACCAGCACCACCACCAGCAGCAACAGCAGCGGCAGCGGGCGCAGAGTCTCGCGAATTCTCCCCTCCCGCCCGTTCGCTTCCGCTCCTTGACAGATCACAACGGTGGGAATGGATTTCGCGGTTTCTGGGGAGGTGGAGGAGGGTGGTGGTGGTGTTGTTGTGTGTGGTTGGTGGTGGTTGTAGGGAGTGTAGGGTGGTGGTGCATCTGTCAGTGGTCTCAGTCAGCCAAGCCCATGGCACCTGCTGGGTCTGTCCCGTGACCTCCTACTGCACCTAGCCTGGCACAGCAGTCAACCCATGGCACCTGCTGGGTCTGTCCCGTGACCTCCTACTGCACCTAGCCTGGCACAGCAGTCAACCCATGGCACCTGCTGGGTCTGTCCCGTGACCTCCTACTGCACCTAGCCTGGCACAGCAGTCAACCCATGGCACCTGCTGGGTCTGTCCCGTGACTTACTGCACCTAGCCTGGCACAGCAGTCAACCCATGGCACCTGCTGGGTCTGTCCCGTGACTTACTGCACCTAGCCTGGCACAGCAGTCAACCCATGGCACCTGCTAGGTCTGTCCCGTGACCGCCTCCTGCACCTAGCCTGGCACAGCAGTCAACCCATGGCACCCGCTGGATCTGTCCCGTGACCTCCTACTGCACCTAGCCTGGCACAGCAGTAAACCCACGGCA